CCGGCCCGTCCCACGTTCCAACTCTGTTGCCCCTTAATACCGAACTTCCACCTGTTAGGCATAGCTGCTGCGGCCGCCTGGTCCGCCCCCCAAAACGTTAACCTTTGTCTGATTTTCAATGCTCTGACTCTGAAATAGTTTGGACTTTTATGTTGGTACCTGTGTTGCATTTTTGGGGACTTCTGGGCGGGCCTATGTGGTGACCCACAATGTTGTATACGGGTTGAGTTTCCCCAAGTTATTCCACTAGGTGGCAGTACAGTGCTGAGAGAGTTTTGAGGCATCCTGTTCTGAGTGGAGGGCCATGCTGTATGCTAAATGGTGTGTAGCTGAAACAAGCCCCGGTGATCCAAGATGGCGCCCTATTCAAATGAATGGCTTGTGCTCAGTAGCGCATGGGCCTTACGGGCACTGACATATCAGAGGAACTCGGCGATATGTGGGCATCGTCTGGTCCTCCCGGTTCTGCACAATGGATTATCTCCCATGATGCGTTGCGCCAAATATGTGTGTGTGGCTCTCATGCACAGAGGGGCAGTGTCTTGACATCACAAGACACTGTCTCCTGTCTCATACTTTTCCCAACTCCACAATGGTGTGGATGAGTGGTGTGAGCGTGGGGATGCAGGTTCTCATGAGGGGAGCTGGAATGAGGTCAAGGTGGCAGGTTTTTAGTTTCATGTCTAAGAGGAGAATGGTCTGGTTGGGGGCAAAGGCTGGAGGGGGGTGAGATGAGACATGTATGAAGTAAGATGTGAATGGTATGTATTTTGGAGTGAAAATATTTAGTAGGTATTGCAGTTCTCTGTAGTGAATGTGGAGGTGATATTGTCCTTGGGTTTGGTGAGCTGTGCAAAGGTGGAGAACAGGGTACATAGGTTTGTAGGATTGATTGAGAAAACGTGATCAACTATCTGGTGATTAATAGCCACAAGATCTATTTTACAGGGTGTTTTTCACAAATTAAATACCGCAACGTGGTGAACACGCTCAGTGTAATTTGTCTTATTTTTTTTTCTGAAACCACCAAGTTGTGGATAGTAGTTACCAGGTAGCTAATCCTGTGTGTACTAACTGTTGATTTAGTCATTTTCAAAACTCGTTTGGGGATTTTTAATAGAGATTTTTCGTGAATATGGGCTCATTTATTCATGTATTTGTGGTTTTATTACAAATTAAAAATTAATCATAAACCAAATTTGACGGCCCGACAAATGTCAACAAACTCTGTGTACCCAATGTGTAGATCTTTTTTTTAACAACGTTTCTGGTAGAATTGATCAGATTATACATGTTTTGTGTATAATAGGAGTGAACAAACCGAGTGCTGTGGAAGAAGCTGATTTTAACATAAGCGAGCTGACGCTAATTTCCTTATACAAGCATTTGTTCCGAGGGCCCAATATGAACTGAGTATGACATAAACGGTTACTGAGCTAGAGGAGTTTAATTTTCACTGTTTTCAATTTGAGCCAGAAGCGAGTTGGAGAAAAATTTCATCCAAGAGCACATGGGCCACATTCTGCACGGGGATGAACATTGGATAGAGTCTATGATTTAGTTGCACATTGGCAGTATATGAAGTTTAAAAAGTCTGATCATCAAGATGTTTCTATTTCCTACTTCTAGTAACATTTTAAACATTTTTTTTCATTCAAGACATAATTTTTCGTATTCAAATGAAAATCAAATACAATTTTATAAATAAAGCACAATTTCTACACAAGACAACCCAAAGTGGCTCATAATAGCCCACAAACAATAGAGGAAATACATTAAAACATCCCACACGAGGAACGTTTTAAACTCATTCTCAAATCCATTTAAGTTGTGTGAATAGAAATGTGCATCATGGCATGGCTGCTGGAATTGGATGTGAGATACTAAAGTTACCATGATGCGGCTCTTTAGAGTCCTTTTTTTAGCTCATAGGGTTATATGAATCAACACACGTCGGATAGAATTCTCACTGACCCCTGTATACATTTAATAAAGAGTGCTTATACTTACATCACTGGCATCAACAACACCAATCTGGGGGTAGGAAAGGTCAATTCCAAAGGTTTTCTCCCAATGAGGAAGGAGCTGTATTGAAAGAATAACAACATTGAGTGAGCTGTTCTGGTGTAATAGCCTGGTATGTGGGCCTATTCCAGTGACTTACCAGAGGGAAATCATCTGGGTCGATCCACACGATACTCAGGTCTGAATTATCTGTGTTATCCTCTGCGACTTGTTTGAGGATCTCCAAAAACTCAAAACTATCTTTTGAGCAAAGAAATATTAAAGAATTACAATCCAATGTGAAATCACTCCTTTGGATTCTCTTTTGTGGGGGAGGTCTGTTTATAAAGAAACCCTCTAAAGTTCCCTGCACAAGTTATAGTTTGTGAAATTGAGGGTATTGGGTGTCTTTGGAGTTTGGGTAAGCTATGTGAATTATATTTTCATATTTATAATAGTTAGTTTAGCTTCTCAAAAATCTTAAATATACATCACAGGAACAAATAGAAACAATAGAAAGAGAAAACCAGCCATAACAAGAGCACAGATATCACCTGGGTCAGCTTCCTCTGCAAAAGCAATGATGTGTTCGCCGGCAACATCATCATCCTATTATTAAACGGGGGTGTAGGGAGTGGGTTATCAAATGCATTCTAAATATATTTCTGTATTCTAACAAGGGTATTTAAAACCTTACCCAAATCTCATACATGTTGTGTGGTTGCAACTTCCTGAGGGTAGGTCTTGATTGAAAGAATATATGAAAGAAATGTTAAGAGTTATTTCAGTTGTACCATACACCACATTTATAGAATAAGATATTAGACTGACCTGTCATTGGCTTCAATGAACTTGACCAACTCTTTCTCAGTGTATGGTTTACCAGGAATTACCATAGGATCTTCAATAAAAGGCTCATAGAAATCAACCTCATTAATTTTTAGCTCCAAAGCCTTGGCTACCTGTAAACAATGAAATTATATCTTTGTCATAATGTAGTATTTGTGCAGAAAATGGTACTATATCCTACTTTAGTAATACTTTATCCTTTCTACATTGGATAGACTAACTAAACTATTGTAATCACTCAAACCTTGGGGTTAAATGTTGCAAAAAACTTGATGTGAGGATGGAACTCCTCTGCTGCATCAGCAAAAGCCTCAAAATCTGAAATGTCACATAGGGCCGTCAAATCATCTTATAAGACATCCTTTTATTGAGAACTGGTATTTTAACTAATATAGGGATAGTATTGTGAAATTTTCATCCAATTTGAATTCTTACGGTCGGATTTGTGATTCTTAAAGTAGCCCACCAGTTTGATGTCCTCTTCTAAGATTTTAAAGCCTTTCAGCTCCTTGCTATTGTCAATGATTTCCACAGGGTCTTCCAGAACCTGTAATACATAAAGGGAGGATTTTATAAACCTGTTTTAATATTGTGTATGTTTATGCGTGTACAAACTCTTCACGAACATCATATATGAACTCCACAAGAGTGTCAGCTGCAAGCTCTCCGTCATACTCAATGACCTCATCTTCTGTAAAGATGAAGATGCTGTCGGACTCCTCAAGACCTGAGAACAAACGCGCATGAGAAATGTAATGATCTGAAATGATCTGTTCTTAATCTTGAAATGTTGTTGTTACCTAATTTCTTAGCAAGATCTTTGTCATGCTTTGCATCAATGAGACCAACTCCAATATCTTCATCTTCAAACTCATCAAGCACTTGGGCTACAAGCTGCAAAGATTCACACATTGTTGTTATATTGCTATTTTTTACGACATAAACAAGAAAGTTTATGAATTATGTTAATGTTATTGACAGAAAATAAAATTACTACTACCACAACTACATAAAGAAAATCTTTTAATTCATTAAAACAACAAACAATGTCTGAGGCATATAACTAAGTTTGAAACTCAAACTAACTGTGTTCAAAAGATGTAAACTGACTTAAGTGACTAATGGGCACATGTTCACTTGTTTAATGGTTTTACTGCCACAGATAATGGTGGACAAGAAAGACAAGAGTCTTTCCATTATTATAATGACCCTCGTCATTATTGGCCATGATTACTATGATTGTAATAATTCATGAGGACACACATTTGCCCCTCACAGCTCAAATCACAAAAGGAGCTTGGTTTAAATATAGCATTGAAACCACTCAGGCCAAGAGACTATTTTGGAGAGGTGGCAGCGATGTTTAGCTTTGGAGATCCGCTGACAAGTCAGTCCTCCAGTGTCAGTCACAACTGAGCTGAGCTGGCACCAGAACCGAACCAGAGTCCACTCACAGCAAGAGGCATAACAACTGTGCATCTGACGTCATGCCTACGAGATAAACTCCTGTTCATATTAATGTAATTATCAGCTCTATAAGCAGTTTGCGTGCACAGCCGATCCGAGACATGTTTTCTGACTGATTTTCAAATTCTTTCCACATTCATAAAGTTTACGTTGGCAGGGACTTTTTTTATTTAGATCTATAAAGTATTGGATTTACTTTTTTGTGAACACATGAAATACATTAAATGTTATTGTTTCCTTTAAATTATTTTCAAATACATTTGAAACAAACATATGTAAATGAAAGCCGATATCAGATCTTGAATCAGGATTTACAGTTCATACTTCCAATCTTGCTCTGTCCTCACCCTGTCACTTTATTCAATTCTGATTTATTATCAATTAAGTATCCAGTTTGCCACCTGCTGACAGGATTTCTAACATGTCATTCAATATTCAGTATATTTATGGTAGGATCTGTGTTTCATTATGACGTTATGTTCCAAAGGATTCCACTACACCGGACCCAACCACATACTGTACATCTCTACAGAGGACTCTTTTAAGTTATGATTCATTGTTTTTTACATTCATTTTTACATCTGGACCGATTCTCTGCAGGTTAACATGCACACCTACCTCAAGAGCCAACTCCTCTATCTGAAATTGTTTCTGGGCAACGCGGCTGGATCCGGGGTGGTCATGGTAATACACCACCAACACATCATACTTCCTCATCACAGACTTATAGTTCTTGACATGGAGGTCGTGGACGCGATCTTTGCCATCATACTCAGGGAAGTCCAGGCTCTCCTTGGCTTGTAAAAATGCCCCAAAAAACAGTAAAACTGCCACAATCACCCAGCCCCACTTCATAGTTGGTGTCAAAGACTGGGGGTCCAACTTTAGAAAAAGACAAATAAATTTGAATGAAGTTGAGTAAGGACCCCTTCCAATCCGCGTCACCCAGAGGAGAGCAAGACCAACTCTTTCACACAGCTAATTAAAAACCCCATGGACAGTTGTGACAGTGTGCACAAGGGGTTGGACTAAGCTGTCATAGGTGTATGTCCTTACGAAGGGGTGCAGGGTCCAGAGGAGATGTGGTAGGGCAGGTGCTCTGGCTGTGTGTACATGTATACATGCTTTAGTTTCTACTGTAGTAGTGGGTTTCTCTCATAAACTAACACCATGTGCACACTGAGAAGGCTCGAAAGAGCATCCACCATGTTGCACATTAGACAAAAACAAACAGGTAATTTGAACCAGAAAGTCATTCAAGTGAAAGTCAAGTTTTAAAATTTAATTCCAATGTTAGCCTCTAAGTGTAAATGGATCCCAGCTGAAAAAATGAATCTTGTATCCGGAATTATCAGGATGGCTTCTAATGTCTTATACACGCCCTTAGGCACGAGTACACAGTTTGTGGGTGAGATGCAGATGCACCTGCTGATCCAAAACCATCCCTTATTCTACAAGAGACGAGACTTACAGGCATGACTTGTGGATTGAATTTGCTTATTTTCTGTACCACCTGTATGCCTGTGAACTCAGAAGATATTATCTTACAAAGAGAAATAGGGTAAGCTATAAATAAATGCATACTTCACATATTATTTCTTCAGCACACTCTTCTATCCCGAAACAGTCTTGGAGACTGCCTACTGACCAGGCTACGCTGAAATCAGAATACGCCTCAAGATGTTATTCATGACAGTCCATGGATTTTTGGCCAATGAAAAATAAATACATTGAAATATAACAATAGTATGTTTTTAATCTCCTAGTTACTAGGCCAATGACGATAGTGTTTTGTTTTGAAAAATGATATATTGCACTGATGATGATTGACAATGATGTTGAAAATACCTTCACATATACCTTCATTCAAATCACAATCCTTAAGAAAAACAAACAAAAACAAAAAACATTTTTTTCGGCATCATAAAAGCCCTGAAGTTGAATAAACAAGGAGCAGTCCAATAAGGAACAATAAGCTCCTCACCTTAAATATTAATTTATTACATAGATAAATTATAATTATTGAGGCTGAAAATATATTTCCCCAGCTATTCATTGAACAAAAAGCGCATACTTATTGGAACAAACCAAGATAATGTAGACCTAAATGTCTTGTATGTCACTTTTACGGAGGAAATTGACTTGTTTTCCGCAATAGAAATTTATGTTATTGTTGCGGTTTTTGCGCTCGCCCTGTTAATTTCCAATGAATGGCCAGAAGAGGGCGCTAACATGAAGTTTGTCTCATAATTCTACCACGTGACATGTCCTGCCCCTGTTACAAAAACAGTCTATGCTTCAACCTTGCATTCTTAGTGACAACTGAATTATTCCGAGGGGACACAAACAGTAGATCTGATAAATCTACGGGCTGCGTTTTAGAGTAAGTATAGGGAAGTATGGATTCTTGTATTACGCAAGTCTTTTGTTTTGTCACGAGTTCACCGTAGACGTAATAGTGGCACTATGGTACTATGATAATATCTCAAGCTAAATGAAAACAATGACAATTGCATACGATGTTGTGAGTGTCCTCAGTTTCTATGTTGTACGCATTGATTGTCAGACATATAGTTATATTTTACTGTACAAGTAATGTTGGTATAAATTCATAATCTTCTGGCTAACTTTTTTGTCTTTAGATGGCTTCAGCTGTGGCCAACAGAGCTTTAGGAGCTATTGTTGGTGCAGCAGTGGCAGATGCAGCAGGTATTCACTTAGATATATTTTACTCCGCTTTTTGTAGTATTGAATAATGTGAGAGTTTTATTTATGTCACATTTTCCACTGCAGCCCAGCCTCTCCATTGGGTATACGACCTACAGAAATTACACTCTATTCTGGCCAAAGACCCAAACCCGGAGTTTCGGACTGAATCTGCAAACCCCTTCTACTCCGTGCAAACAGGTCTACAAAGCTGCTACGGGGATCAAGCTTATGTCCTGCTTGAGTCTTTATCAGAGTGCGGAGGTGGAATCAATTATTATGTTGTAATTAGATCAGCAATGATTTCACAATGTTTGCTTGATTTGGGTGAGCTTTGTTGACAGGTCTTGACGTTGACGATCTTAAAAAGCGAACGCTGAAATTCTTTGGTCCAGGGTCAGTGTATGACACTCCTGTGAATGATCCATACAGGCAGAGAGGGGGTAAGCCTTAAATTGAGCTATGAAATGGAATGATATTAGATAGAATACATTTTTGGTATACGTAATTTTCAGGCCCAAGACCTCAACTGCCAATTGAGGGACCATGGAGACATGCAAGTTTGAAAAGTTTCCTAAAAAATGTGGATGAAGGAAAGCACAATACAGGTGAATAATATATGCATTATTAGGATGATTTGCTGATAATATCATAGAAGACAACAGCCAGTAATGTTGAGCATTTTGACCACAGGTTGTGAGACTGACTGTCAAATTGATGGAATAACCAAACTAGCTCCTATAGTGGCTTTTTACGCTGGAAGGCCTGAAATGCTGGAGAAAGTTGAAGATGCCATCCGAGTGACACAGAATTATGATCCTTGTGTGGCAGAGACTCTCGCAGCAGCAAGGTAATCATTTTAACAGTAGAATACGTTAATTATTGTATAATATATATGAATATTGTTTATTTATGAAGATTACTGGAACATTACATCTTACATGGCTCTGATCCCAATGCCATCGATGTGGTGATTGGTCAGCTCAGTGATCCAAAGAGAAACAACCCCCAAGATCTGGACAGAGCAGTCATCGGTATGCATTCGTTACTCCTGCTCCAGACCAGCAGGCCACAGAATTCACCAAATGATTCAGTATCGATGATTGCTGCTGATATTGTGAGATTGTAATGTTTCTCTCAAAATGTCCTTGATAATACTTTTTTTTAATCCTAGGACACCTTATGCAAGTGAAGGAGCATTTATCTAAGAGTCCCAAAGAACTCATTCCCTCTGTGTTTCCAAATACATGAGGTATATTGCATCAGTACTTTTTGAATTTCTCTTTTGAACCCTCATTTTGATTATCATGCTGTTCTTTAGGTTTGCCTGGTGCATTCCAAGCAGCTCTGCATGGAGTCCTTACAGCCACTCAGTTTGAGAAGGCCATCAGAGACACCATGAGCTGTGGGGGGTGCACCTGTAGCAGAGGGTCCTTCATTGGGGCATGTCTCGGTGCTCAGGTAAAATAATGGTCCTAAAACAGTCCATCGAAAGGCTGTGTGGCTATAGATTTTCATTCTAACAAAGCTAATAAGTGGAGTCTGGTGTGCTCCTGCTTGATTATCATTGAAAACCTGCAGCCACATTGTCCTTCGAAACACCAGTTGAAGACTACTTCTCTATTGCATGGTTTGTCAAATATGTGATTTTATTATTATTTCAGTTTGGATTTGAAGCAATTCCATCTTCGTGGACATCCAAAACTGTGCGTTTTGAAGCAGTGCTAGGGCATGCCAGAAAGATCACCACACGTCATCAGTTGTAGGTCTTCGCAGCACCTTTTCAATCTTGTCATGTGACAAAAACTGTTGCGCTGTAACAGATCAGTGAATGAAGGTTGTTGTCTAAACCAATGTGTGATGATAACCTGATGTTATGTATCTGTTTGGTATGACGTGTTTATGTGCATGACCCTGTGTAATAAATATGATTATCTCAAAGACTTTGTTTATTTTGAGCAAATAAGTGTACAAGAAACAAAAGTAGAATATCAAAATTGTCCATAAATAACCCTGAGCTACATTTACATAACACAAAATTATATATATATACACGAAAGAAACACTTGCAGATACTCGAAAAGGAGTGGGAAGAAGAAAACTGTTTTAATCCCACCCCTGGTGCCTTAAAGAAAAAAACATTACTCATTGAGCTTCCTATTTGCTCCAGTACAAAAACAAAGCAAATAGCACATTTGAATCAACTGTTCAGGTTTTAAAGTAGCAATTAATGGGTTTGAGGACAAATACAAACAACATACATATTACAAGGATGCAAAACAACTGCATGAGGGAAATACCAGCAATGGTAAAAGACAGTAAATACCAATATGGTACATTAATCTTATAGGATCTTTTAGGAGGATTTCCCCAAATTTTAGGAAAGAACCACCCTTTCCACTTTTTGAGAAAACTTTGGTCTTGTTTGACGAGTGCGTAGCACCAGTATGATTGATAATTAGAAAATCCTCCTTTATAGCTTTAATAGAAAATATCTTATATTTAATTTACTGGGATGTGACTGAGCCCAAAAACAAAAGCAGGTGAATATCTATTTTATTATAAATCCATAATTATTATTACATACATTTTTTTTTTCAAAGTGTACTTGGACTTTTGTACATGCATGGTAAATATATATTAATATCTTTAAATGCGTTTTAAGCAGTTATAATAGCAGTATTACCTGTGTTTGCTGAACTTTTGACTTCATTCATCATGACGCGATTGTCCCTCCGCGGCTGCCGTATGTGAGGCTGATGACAGAGTTGGTTTGCTCTCGGGGAGTCCATCATGTCCAGTAAAGGAGGAAAACAAAGTCGGGTTTCGGACAGAAAAGGCACCGGGGATGAGGAAGAAGAGCAGCCACTTCAGGCCGTATTAGTTGCCGACAGTTTCAACAGGAGGTTTTTCCCGGTGACTAAAGACCAGCCCCGGGTAAGCATCAAGCTAACAGCTAACAGCTAACTGTCAGTGCTGCTGCTGCTGCTGCTGCTGCTGCTGCTGCTGCTGCTGCTGCTGCCGCTGCTGCTGCTGCTGCTGCTGCTGCTGCTGCCGCTGCCGCTGCCGCTGTTGCTGCTGCTGCTGCTGCTGCTGCTGCCGCTGCTGCTGCTGCCGCCGCTGCTGCTGCTGCTGCTGCTGCTGCTGCTGCTGCTGCTGCTGCTGCTGCTGCTGCTGCTGCTGCCGCTGCCGCTGCCGCTGCTGCTGCTGCTGCTGCTGCTGCTGCTGCCGCTGCCGCTGCTGCTGCTGTAGTACACACAGGGCAGCTGGGATAGCCTCATGTTTCGCCACATACAGTTTTCCCATAAGTTTGTTCACTTGAGTCATGTGTCTGTTGCGGGGGACAGGCGCTGCTGCCGCTGGGTAATGTTGCCATGATTGACTACACACTGGAGTTCCTCACTTCCACCGGGGTTCAGGAGACCTTCATCTTCTGCTGCTGGATGGCCCCTACAATTAAAGAGCACCTACTGTGAGTATGAACACGCAAACGTTGTATCATCTACACCTGTGTAACAAACCTTTTATGTATTGTGTATTCTTATATGTGTAACAAACCTTTTGTGTATTGTGTATTCTTATATTGTAGTTGTTTCTTTGTTTCAGTAAGTCCAAGTGGTGTCGGCCCACATCTCCTAACACAGTCCACATCATCACCTCAGAGCTGTACCGCTCTCTGGGGGACGTGCTCAGGGATGTAGATGCAAAGTCCCTTGTTCGCTCTGACTTTGTGTTGGTCTATGGAGATGTGGTCTCAAACATTGATGTCAGTGAGGCTTTACACGCACACAGGTGAAACACCCGAGACTGATTTTAGTTGTTTCATGAACTGTAGCACTATAGTCTCAAATGTACAACATATTTTAATAGACACCGAAGAAAAATGGAGAAGAACATCTCTGTGATGACAATGGTTTTCAAAGAGTCATCACCTGGACACAGATCTCGCTGCGAGGAGGATGATATAATTGTTGCTATGGACAGTAAGACACATCGTGTCTTACACTATCAGAAAACACAAGGACTGAAGAAAATGCAGTTTCCAATGGTATCGTCTCCTTGATTCAGAAAATTGTTTCAGGTTTTCCATTTATGTATTGTTTGTTTTGTCACTGTTTTGCAGAATATATTCCATAGCACCAGTGATGAATTTGAAATACGCCATGATATTTTAGACTGTCACATCAGTATATGTTCACCACAGGTCAGTTTCTGTGAACTTTCTTATATTAACTCAAAGTTGGATTTTAAACTTACTTTTTATGTTAAGGTTGCAGAACTGTTTACAGATAACTTTGACTACCAAACTAGGGATGACTTTGTGAGAGGCATCCTTGTTAATGAAGAAGTATGTATTGATTATTGAGTAATAATCCTATGATAAGTACATGATATATAAGTAGTACATAAACTTACATTATTTGTGCAGATCTTGGGCAATCAGATTCACATGCATGTAACTAAAGATGGTTATGGTGTCCGAGTGTCCAACCTGCTCATGTACGACTCTGTGTCATCGGACCTGGTGCGCCGCTGGGTTTACCCGCTGACCCCAGAGGCTAACTTCACTGACCACAAGGGCCACAGCTGCACATACTCTCGCCACAATGTCTACAGAGGGTCAGGAGTCAGCCTCGGCCACGGCAGCCAGATGGAAGAGAACGTGCTGATAGGCTGTGACACCAGCATCGGCGCCAACTGTCACATCTCCAACAGTGTCATTGGAAACAATTGCACCATAGGTAAGCTACTGTCTGTATTTAGTGCACGTTGCAAGTGTTCAATTCTGAAAATCTGTTTTTATAAACAGGTGATAATATAATTCTGGACCATGCCTATATTTGGAATAATGTTCACATTGCAAGTAATGTGACAATCGTTCAGTCTGTGGTCTGTGACAGAGTAGTTGTTAAAGATAGCGTGACACTGAACAAACAATGCGTCCTTGCATTTGATGTAAGTTTTTCTTCATCATGTTTTCATAATCCTCACAAATACTGTACATCTACAGTAACTTGTTGTTTTTAAAGGTGGTTGTTGGACCAAATATCTCCCTCCCTGAAGGTACTGTGTTGTCTATGCATCACCCAGAAGAGGAGGAAGAGGAAGATGATGATGAGTTTCTCAGCGATGATGCTGAAGTTGGTCAAAACAAAGACAAGAACAAGCTTAAAGGTTTGTCTCTTTACTTTTGCAATTATCATGTTTTCATTGGATTCTGACTTTGGCCCTCTGATCCTGCAGCATTTAATCCGGTAGAAGTCGGGGCGGATGGAAAGGGGTACATCTGGAAGGCTAATCTGGATGACACAGAGGATGAAGAGTTGGCACACTGTCTTTGGGGTATGTTTCCCATAAAGAATGTATGTGTCAGTTCAGTTGTAACTGTGGCTTTATTTACAAGGTTTGGTGTTGAATCCTGACCCTGAGAGTGAAAGTGAAGACAGTGAACCAGAGGATTCTGATGATCCTGTGATCACTTCTCCAGAAATGGACGATGACAAAGGTAAGACTCATTCTGGCTTTTAACTCAGTGACTCGACTTAAACTAATTTATTCACTTATTTATTCATAGTTTTTCAAATGGAAGTTTTGGGAACACTTCAAAGAGGCCTGGAGGAGAACATTGGCTGTGACAATCTTGTGCTTGAAATCAACTCTCTAAAGTAAGAAAAGGGTCATTCTGACGACCAGTGTTTATACTTTAAGTACACTTTGAGTAAGAGGGGGTCCGGTTCGGAGACCACAGGATTTCATCTCTGCTGTTTGCGGATGATGTTGTCCTGTTGGCTCCAACGAACCAGGACCTGCAACATGCACTGGGACGGTTTGCAGCAGAGTGTGAAGCGGCTGGGATGAGAATCAGCACCTCCAAATCCGAGGCCATGGTGCTCGACTGGAAAAAGGTGCCTTTTCCAGGTGGGTGGGGAGGTCCTTCCTCAAGTGGAGGAGTTCAAGTATCTCGGAGTCTTGTTCACGAGTGAGGGAAGGATGGAGCGTGAGATTGACAGGCGGATCGGTGCAGCGTGCACAGTGATTCGGTCGCTGTATCGGACTGTCGTGGAGAAGAGGGAGCTGAGCCGAAAGGCAAAGCTCTCGATTTACCGGTCAATCTTCGTTCCCTCCCTCACCTATGGTCATGAGCTTTGGGTAATGACCGAAAGACCAAGATCGCGGATACAAGCGGTCGAAATGAGCTTCCTCCGCAGAGTGGCTGGGCGCTCCCTTAAGCCTGGTTCACACGGCAGGATATTTAGGCCGATTTAGACCCGATTTACCCCTTACGACAATCTTAAGAAACGCTCCGATTTCCGTAACAAAATCTTACAGATTATCCTGCCGTGTGTGGTGTGTTAAGACTGCACTCGTCGCTTGGAAGGACATCGGGACTGCTCCCGATCTCAAATCGGGGATATCCAACATGTTGGATTGTTTTGGCCCGATTTCTTGTCGTGTGTGGTGTCCTCCGAGGACAAGCGAGCGCGTTGCCATGACTACGGCGTGTAGCCAATAAGAAGACGAGGTGACAAGCCGGTGAGGAAACACCGGAAAAAAACTAAAACACAGCAGCATGGCTTTGACCATTTCCTTTTCTTTGGATTACGTGTCTTCTCTGTTAACAACAAACTGCACACTATCGCCACTGCATCCTCTTCGTCCGCCATGACTGTTTACTCTGAAGTCACGCTTGATCTCGAGAGATTTTGTGGGGGGGGGGGGGTGTTTGTGTGTGATGTTTGTGGCTTGCGTGATCTTGCCGTGTGGCTACGCACCACACACTGCACGACCAAAGTGGTTAGATGCAGGATTTTTAATCTCCCCGTGTGGGGTCTAACACGGAGAAAAATCGGCCGACAATTTTAAAATCGTCTCGTGTGAACCAGGCTTTAGAGATAGGGTGAGGAGCTCAGTCACACGGGAGGAGCTCGAAGTAGAGCCGCTGCTCCTTCACGTCGAGAGGAACCAGTTGAGGTGGCTCGGGCATCTGTTCAGGATGCCTCCCGGACGCCTCCCTGGGGAGGTGTTCCGGGCACGTCCCACTAGGAGGAGACCTTGGGGAAGACCCAGGACATGTTGGAGGGACTATGTCTCTCAGCTGGCCTGGGCGTTCCCCCGTACGAGCTGGAGGAAGTGTGTGGATAGGGAAGTCTGGGCGTCTCTGCTTAGACTGCTGCCTCCGCAACCCGGCAACGGATGAAGCGGAAGAAAGAGTATATACACTTTAACACTTAAAGTGTATTTAGTGCACTATAAGGGGTACAGTCGCCCCAGTGCAATACTTATAACCCTGTTGATCAGCTAAGACCATGTCAAATTTTATTTTAATATTTAGAGACTGGAGTTTGTTATTTATCTACTTAAATAACAGTTATGTATCTTGTTAGCCATTTTATTATCTTTATTATTGTGCTTGAGTGTTCGAACAATGGCATTGGGGTGTCATCGATTCCACCTCCAGACAGGGCCTTTCTGTGTGGAGTTTGCATGTTCTCCTAGTGATGTGTAGGTTTCGTCCAGGTGCTCCGGTTACCCCTACCACTAAAACATGTACAATAGTTCTGAATGTAATTAGTGAGGGAATGTAAGGTGACAATGGCCCTCATTTATGAAACTTGCGCTGAAAAGGATATATATTCCAAATACGCAAGATCCAACGTGGGATTTATGAACGTGTGAGATCCGCCCAGATCTGAGCGTACGCAGCTGCGGGTGTTCATAAATGCTGCGGTTGAATACTGATGTATTTACGAAAGTCGCGCCTTGAAATTTACAGCAACCGCTTGTTTCAGGCCATTTAGCAATGTCTTTTTTTTACAACATTGCTGAAAGGAAGACTGTTTGGAAGCATCAAAAGGCCTGTGGCATACCCTCCTGAAGAGTTGTTTAATTTAAAAACTAATATATACACTAAATTCAGCTGCGTTTCCATTGAACAAATTTGCAAAACTTTTTTGATACATCGCAAAAATCTCTCTTGAACTTTAGAATTAAATTAATAATGAATATTTATACATTGACCTCAGCGGAGGCTCTCATTAACTGGATGAAGCGTCTGCAACATCTTCTTGTGAATGCAATGGAGCGCGCTCTCTACACTTGAGAGAAGATGACAAGCTTTTGGGAAGTAGTGATTTCACAGAAAATCTGCATCCAAAACTTCTGAATGACGAGCACCACATTTGAAGAGTTATGGACCGCTGTGGCACCCGCTGCGCACTGCCCGTGAGCCCGTTCTCACAGATAAGAGCGTTGCATCCCATCTATAAACTGCTACATGTGAACAGGGCAGTGAGACATTTGGAGTGAGCAAGCCTCACACACCCCATCGTTTATGGGGTGTGTGAGGCTTTCACAAAACTAATGAAAAAATACATAGCTTTTCCAGATTAAGTGAGGCAAAACAAATACCTTTTCGTAATCAGTTCGGGGCCCGCCACAGATTTACAAAGCATAGATGGGTCACACATCCCTGTCGCTTATGTTAGTAAGTCAAGTGTATTTGTATAGCGCCTTTCACAGATCCACAAAGCGCTTCACATTTACAAAACATACAGATGAAAATAATACACATACAAGTCAAATTTAAAAACAAAGGAACAGAAGAGGGTCCTCATCCTGATCTGTGATTTATTCGACATTTGCGTGTTTTCATTAGAAATTTTTTGATGTGTAAATTTCTATGAAAATGCATCTTATAAGGCTAGGCAAATAAACTTGTTTTCGATCTGATTTTGCACCACTGTATTAAAATGACCTGCAGAATATAAAGATGTGCGTTACTCCATACGACTTGAGGTGTTGATCATCGTAAGCACCCTGTCCCCTTGTCGCTGTAAGCCTCCTCTTCCCTCTGCAGATATGCCTACAACATCACTCTGAAGGAGGTGATGCAGATTTTGACTCGAGTGGTGCTGGACTACCCTTTTCAACAACAGGGACCAGAGCTCACTACATCACAATACGTGGCCTTGATGCTGCCGGTAAAGCCTTGAGAAAACAACTTTATTCTATGGACATATTGATTAATTGATTGTCCTTGTTTATTGTCAGTTATTGAAAAAATGGGCGCCTGTGTTTAAAAACTATGTAAAAAGAGCACAGGACCATCTGGACTGTTTGTCAGCGTTTGAAGAGCACTTTCTGGAGGCGGAGGCTCACTGGGCTGCTATGGTCAAGGTCAGACTATACATTTTTGCATTTTGAAGTCTGGTTTTAAGTAAATACAACCTGCACTGAATAATTAATATAAACAAGCTGTGATCACTGCAGGTTTTAATGAACATGTACCAGCTGGAGATTCTGGAGGAGGAGATGATCCTGCGCTGGTTTTCCCAGGGAGCGACCTCCGACAAGAGCAGGCAGCTGCGCAAGAACCAAGGGGTGAGTGTAAAGCAATGACTGTGTCTCCTTTTGGATAAATCCATTCGCTGAACACCTGGTACACGACAGTGTTGAAAAGTACATTGTATGTTCTTTTCCATTTGCAGCTTCAGAAGTTTATTCAGTGGCTGGAGGAGGCAGAGGAGTCTTCAGAAGACGAAGCATAACAAATGTGATCAAAGGGATAAAGAGCTTCTAATACCTGGAACTATCTCAGTGCCATGCATTGTAAGGATTATGTGAAATATATCTATAGAAAATAAAGACTTGACTGTTTTCAGTGTGTTTCACAGTGTATTTAAGAAGTTTATTGAAGTTGTGTAAAAGTAAAGCAGCAGTACTCATTGTTACAGCTTTATATAAAATACTTTCAAAAACCTATGCTATTACAAAAATAATGAATATGTACAGTCATCTCCAAATAGAGTTAAACAAATCAGATTTTAGTAATAAGTTCCCTTTAAAATCAGTTCCCTTGAAATAATAATCAACAAAATGGTATTTCATGTTTTACAATGAAATTATTTATGTAGAAAAGAAACTGGTGAAAGAAGTATGAGGGTTGCTTTCTGCCTGTATCTCCCTGTGGTACCACCAGATGGAGGAGTTGATTTTTTTTGTTGCAAACACAGCCATGTAATTGTAAAAAAAAAAAAATACAACAACCACTTTATAGACCCTTACTCAGCCAATCAGCACTTGGCCTAAAGTATCATTAAGTGACTCACAGGGATATTTCTTACAGGTGAGCCAAAGACCATTGGTATTTACCTCTCTGTTGGGAGGAACAATTTAATATGAATAACATGGGCATTAAAGGCCCTGCAGACATTCTAACCATTTGAATGAACTATCGAGATCGTCGGTCCTTCTCAGACATGTTGTAGACGACAAGTGCCAGAATGGAGGCTCCTGTGAGGCCTGTGAGTGCGGCGAGTGACTTCCACATGCTGGCCACGCTCTCGTGCCGGTTCATGAAGCTGCGGTGGTCTCCCGGCACCAGGATGTATGTGCGTCCGTCCTGTGGAGCCTGCAGCCTCATCACCTGCTCTCCCTCCAGGACCACCTCTCCAAAGCCGGTCAGCGTGCTCCCCACTTTCAGCATCTCTTCCTGTTCCACCAGGGCGCCAGGCTTCTCCCCGCTGATGCCCTGCAGAACGATATTCACCATGTCGTCCTCCGCATGCCTTATCCTGTGGTAAACTCTGTCCAGAAAGAACCCAGACGCCTCCAGAGGGCTGTGGATTCTCACACAGAAGTCACTTATGTACGTCCCTGGGTTCACCAGACTGAAGGGGACAGAGTTGTTTGTTTCCTTCTGGTTCTTTGTTCGGGAATTCCTGTTTTCAGATAATATAGTAGTTTAGCATCGTGTTTGGGAACGCTCCTGTGTCCTATAAGCCAATATACCAATCGGGTCGTTCAGTTGGTGTAATACAGGTGAAACTCTGAAAATAAGAATATTGTTCAAAAGTCCAATTTTTCTGAAATTCAACTTTCAATGTGAAACCAATATATGGCACGCAAAGTGGACTCAACCTTTATTTTTTATAATAAATAATTGGCTCACATCTCAGAAAATTGGACTATTTTGAAAATGGACTAAATCATAATCATCAGAATTATAACAAAGAAAGGCGTATGCCATATTTTGGTTTCACTTAAAGTTAAATTTGAGAATTAAATACACTTAAACGTTGGTTTAGTGTCAGTGTCTTAATTATTGAGAGAGGTTTTGTAAAAAATAAATAAAAATGTATCCGTAGTTTCATGAGTGCCCTTACACCACTATAAAGACATATAGCATATAAAAATTTTACACATTACATTTTCAAATAAGAAATTATTATATTATGTTACCAGGTTTTGGTGAAGGAGTTCCAGTATTTCCAGTGCTCTTCAACTGCTATTCTCTGGATGACACCAAAGCATCGTGGGACATACTGACTGGCTAAAGGCTCTGCATCCGCTTGGACCATACCTCAGAGAACAACATGCACGTGATTATTGAGTTACTTGATATTCTGACCAGCAGTTAAAGAATTTTAATGTGGTGTAAAACTGAAAACACATTGAACAAATGATTTAGATTCACCTTCTATGGCAACATACTGGAGTCGTCTGTGAGGGGTGGCTCTCAGGACACTAAACAACTGATAATCAGGCTTGAATACAGGTATTTCCTAAAAATCAAGAGAATAATAAAATGTTATGGCATTTATTGTTATTGGGTCGTTCATTTGCTGTAATACAGGAGTAACTCAGAAAATAAGACTATCGTTCACAAGCCCAGACAACAAGTCCAATTTCTTCTGAAATTCAACTTACAATGTGAAACTAATATATGACACGCAACGTGAACTCTATCAACCTTTATTTGTTATAATAAATAATTAGTTTTATAATTGGCTAACAACATGTCAGAAAATTGGACTTTTGAAAATGGACAAAGTCATCAGAATTACAATAAACAAAGGCATGTCATAATTCGGTCGAAACATACCTTAAGTTTGTCCAGTTCTTCCTTTTTATTCTTATACAGACGATGGAATAACCCAGAGAAGGCAAAACTAGAACCAATACCAACCCACACCATAGGATTTACTGTGAAGTCACTCATGTTGACTGTAAACACAAGACACAACAGTATGTTCGTGAGAAATATGAAAGACTACGGATCTGATATGAGAAGAGGGCTTACCTGATATAGAGCATGGATTATAAAACGGGATTAGTTTGTGGTTTGGATAAGGATAAAAACGAAACAAAGAACGTGGGGCATAACTTCCGTCTTTCCTTAACTTTCGTCAGAGTTCAGCAGCCAATGGCATTTGTGATGCGCGTTGAGTCCGCTGGGTGGCGCCAGAGTGCTATGGGATCTGTAGACAGAAAATACTTACAGGAGATACTCTAATATGTAATAGTCTTACTTTCGAGGCCTTTTGAACATACTCTGGAGGTTTAGTGCTTTTCATCTTTGTTACATGCATGAACACAAACATGACGCCTCTAATAGTTTATCAGTGGTTCTCAACCGGGGCGTGTGGGCCATCTGATCATGGATCTATAATAATATCATCTGATCTGGGCCCACAGAGGGTAACGGTTGTGAGCATTTACTTGTACACATTATTAAATATGTATAAATGACACTGCAGAAATAGTAATATAGATAAGAAATCAAGAGTGCTCCTGTTAAAGAAAATAAAAAAATATTCCCTAAACATTTACAAATTCACTGAAATGTTGACAAAAACTTAATTTGATCGATTTACTTAATTCCAAACCCTTTTGGAATAATGTGTAGTATTCTTAAATCCTTAGGATCGTTTTCACATGTGAAACCAAACAGTATTTTACATTATGTTGATCATTAGGCTCGCAGCTCGTCGCTATATTTTTCCTATTTTACTATTATTGAGTTATTTTTCTTTTGAGACATTGTTACATATATTGATCATGAATGTAAGTTTCAATACATCTGCACTGAACACTTGTAATCAATACATTGATTTACATTTCACCTCAATAAGAATAGCGGAGAGCTCCAGGAGAGGATCTGATCTCATCTGGCCCTGCACATTCTGGCACATTCTGGCACATTCTGGCTGTGAGTGTCGGCTATGCACAGTAGGCCTATATTTCCATAGGCTATTTATGAGGCGATTTGCATTGTTATGTAATGCGATTTCAAAGCTCACTTCGTTGTTGTTCTTTCCTCGCCAGGAACACTTTGTGCATTATTTGCATGCATATATTACATTTATTTAGACCATGCTTCTTTTTAGAAAGTTTTCACTGTTTGTAACTTTAGCAACAAACAGAAGAGCAATCATTAATCCATCATCAAGTATAGACAGTATAGACACCGACATGCAGCCTGCACACAATTTTACTTTATCACACTCACACCCATGTGCCCATGGCGGGTGTGGGTGTGAGGTGTCTATGACAACTTTAATGTCATTACATTTTGGACAGAGTTTATTCATTGTAGGTCAACTCATTAATTTGAGGTCTATGCTAACAATCGGCAATGTCAGGAAAATGTATTTGTGAAATAAAAGTTTATCATAATGCAGAGTACAGGTAAGCAGCATAAGCAGTAAAAAGATGGGGCTGAAGAGCTGCTGTTCAAACTCATCTCCTTCCAGCAAATGCCTTGTTAGCGTCATAAATGCATACTTTGAATTGCTCAAATTGTGCAGTAATAAATAGCCATCACCCATCTCTTTCTTTGGCCACTGATCTTTCTATGTCTTTCTTGTTTTGTAAAAGTTGTTCAAAGTAGTGGAAATCACAGCAGAGTCTATGATGAGAAGATATCAAATTGAGTTTCATTTTGGCCACCCATTTCAAATTGGCCAATTATTCACCAATCACACATGAAACCATTAATTCACAATTCAATTAATTTCTTATATCATAAGAGTATGGTTGAGTTTCACAGAAGAGCACAATGTGACACAACAGGGAAGAAGGGAAGAGATACTCAGCATTTAGAGCCTTCAGCCATAGATTTACTGGTTATATTAAAAAGCATTTGCAAAAATTGGGATCATAACTTCTTTACCCAAAATGTTACTCCAGTTTTTGATTCTTTGAACATTTACTTGAGTCCAAATGACCACAAATATATTAAGCCTTTATTTGTTATAATGTTATTTTATGATAATTATGGCTCACGGCTGTAAAGACCAAAATAAAACGTTATTTGTAAAACAATAAGAGGAAATTGATTAGCTGAAAATAGACTGATCAAAATGATAACAACAAAAGGCATCCCACTGGATGTAATGATTCTATATCATGTATTGGTTTCACATTTTAAGTTCAATTACTGAAATAAATTCACAGTTTTGACAATATTCACATTTTTTGAGTTTCACCTAAATATTTTAGCAACAAAATGTTCGCTGTAGAATTCTGATATTTTTTTCTAGCACAACATAGTAGACTATAGACCAGGGGTACTCAAAACCTTCAGACAGCCCCCAAAATATTTTAATTCAATTTGTGCCCCCTTTTTCGGAATAACTTGGTGTTATGGAACCATTACAGGTTTTTGTTCACATTAACGACAGAACAGAGTGGCACAGGAGTAGACTGAACAAGCTGGTCAGGAGGGCCAGCTCCACTCTGGGCTGTGGAGGAGGTGAGGGACAGGAGGGTGCTAGTCAAAGTCACCTCCATCATGAACAATACCTCCCACTGCACAGGACTGTAGAGGAGCGGAGGAGCTCCTTCAGTGGAAGACTGAGACACCCACAGTGCAAGAAGGAGCGCTACCGCAGGGCCTTCATCCCCACCGCCGTCAGACTGTACAATGAGTCACTTTAATGATCTGCACTAGGACTGAAAAACTCACACTGCTGAAGTCACTTTAGATTTTGTTGTACGTAATATATTTTGCACATTTCCTTTCTTTTTGCTCAATCTGAGTGATTCTATCTATACAAAATGTGACATGTAAATTTCTCCATCTTATCTTTTCTTATAACATTTTAACAAGTAATAATGTATTACAAGCCTTTCACTGTATTTCTTCAGTTATTTGACACAAAATATTATGTTTTCTGTGAAATCAGGTCAAATAACACAACACATGAAGAGATATTTCACCTGCTTTTACTCAGATCTTCATATTTTGCTTTAAATGAGTGAAAAGTATTGAATATTATCTTTTATCCTTTCCTTTCCTCCCACGCTGAGAGCTCTGCTGTGGACAATATCATAAGATTTTTAACATCATATTTTTCTACTCACTGGGATCCATTATTTTGTAGCCTCTCTGCCATGATGTTATATACCGTAGTCATCAACACATTCCTAAAAGCGTCCATGTTTAATGTTCCTGGCTTGGATCACTTACCAGCCCCTACTTCAGCCAGAATCTTTCCTGATAAGCAAGAGAAGATGAAAGACACACATACGCTCGGCTCCTGGGTGCATGTCAAGCCTTTTCTCCGCTTCTTTGCCCTCCATTCCATCAGTCAAACGGACAAAGAAAAAATGACTGGTGCAAAACTTTTACACAAAGTAGCGCCGCTGATGGATGGTTATGAAGTGTGTGTTGCCATGTAATATGTTTGACTTTGCAGGAGAGACAAATTGAGACCTTGAGGAGGAGAAAATATTGCTGAGTGATTTCTCCGTCTCTCCGACCACCGAGGAGCGAATTAAGGACGTTTTCACAGAAGATTTCAACATGACTAAAGAAGGAAAAAAGTGCCGGAAAGACTAATGAAGTCGTAGCTGATGGAGATAGACTGGCAAATTAACACTTATGAATGAAGGCGTGTGAAAATAAGATGTTACCCGAGAATTATTGATTTGAAGGTGGTCTGTTCATTTTTAACAACTTGGCCTCCCCCGCCGCAGTCCCCATGGATGTGATATAACTTAGAATTCTCAACCACATTATAGAATTCTTTTTCAGTAGGAGGACAGGTTCCAATAGAAAGAAATGTTGGAAAAGAAAATGTCCAAAGTCTTTGAAAAGGGGGTTGGATGAATCAAGGCTTATTTGGCACAAAACTTTTTTCGCTCATTCAGTATAACACAAAACAGAACACACACACAACAAAACTCTCTGACCATACAGCTCCCTCCCATTACTCACTTTGTGCTTATATAGTAGTAATTAGATTCACAAATCCGCCCGCATTTTATTTTTATGTTTGTTTGTTTACTGTTTGTTTGTTTATTTATTCATTTCAGGCATTTCATATTAGGCACAACTCACCTCTTGTCCATCATCGTCTCAAACAAAAATAAATAAAGTATTGCTAAAAAGCATAAGAGGGGAGTAGGACAAAGAGAACTTATTTAATCCTTCCCCCATAAGGTGAAAGAATGTTTGAAAGTCCTTCTTCGTGGCCAACATTGTGTTTTGGAATATGTCTCACATGAATTCTGATGAATTTCTGTGTGTCTCTCTTGGTGTCCCGAACTTTTTTTTGATTTGGTTTATGACAAATTGAAACCCACATGTGAGGGACAGGGCCACTGAGAACATGTGTTTTGTAGAGTAGAGGTTTTTTCTCTCTCCTTGGGATTCCCCTTAATGGCCAAAACAGAAGATTCGTGGACAGTGGTCTCTAGGATGTTATAGGATCCATTGTGTTTGGAAAGTTTTCTCTGCAACAATTCATCCTGGAGCTCTGTACACACAACTATGATCCAAAGTTAAGGCACCATTACACCACTACAAACACACAAAGATCTATATATAAAAAAACGTCACATAAATCTTGTATAATACCCCTATAACTTTCCACTTGGCATTTATTCGTGCAATGGAAGATAACCCTTTGGAATGTACTTTAGGCAGCAGAGAGCAAAGCTATTCCAGATAAATGGATGCCACAAAATAACTTTTGACATAAACTTGAGTATGTTTGTGAAATATTTGAATAAATGGGACCGAGTTTGCCAGACGACACACGCTGAGTACTGTTGATGTTCCCATTGAAATAGTGAAACTTTTGCGTAATGTCTCTGATACTGTCTCTAAAACCGCTGCTTATGTGACTGTGATTATTATGTAAATGAGCTGAGCAATAGGATTGAAATGATAATTCTCGTCATAATTATATTCACATAATTATGCTGCTATAAATGTTATTCTGTTGTATCTCTGTAATTACCAGCTCTACCATATTTATAAAGGATGTCATGCTGTTGCAGGTTGATTTTGCATGTGAAGGGTTCATTCAATCAAAGATGTGCCGGAACATCAGCAGAAGCTCACAGTCAATGGGACCATTGACAAAGTTCTGAAACGTGCAATCAGGATGTGAGCTTCACTGCAGGTAAAGAGCAGTTGTATGTTTTGATGAATACAGCACAGACGGCAGCTGAACGTTATAAATGAGAACTCAAAATAAGGTCTCTTCACCTTGGCAGGAGGAAAGTAATCTTCAATCAAATAGTTGTGGCCAATGATCAAAAAAACATCATGTAAAAATGTAAAACTGTGAAACAAAGAGCTAGTTGCTTGTGCAGTTGCACAGTCTATCCTTACAGCTGTGGTTTACCCAGAGCATACATTAGACTGTAAAATGTTGACATTAGATCATGAGTGATGATAAGCTAGAGCCAAGGACATCTGAGATAAGTTATACCTCAGCATATAAGGCTGGAAACCAAAAATAGAAAAGCATTCTGTTGAAATTCCTCCAGAATTATCTTCCAGCACCAAAAGCCCAAACGTTTGACTCTCATCCCAGAGCAAGGTTGTTCTGACATCCATCAAAGCTCCTATAAGCTGCAGTGACTCATGCTGATCATTAAACTTTCTCGTAAACGTTGTAGTCTGTGGTGCCACCTCTTGAGCAAATGCAGAGACAAAGAAAGGGTCTGTGCATTGTCTTAAGTTAATGCATAAATCTGTTCTCGCCGATGAGCCACCAGCAGCTGACCACAGCATACTTTTCACACACTCAGACAAAACCAGTCCACAGCCCTTACCCATGTCTCTGTCTAACTACACCATTCAGCCTAACCCTTTCGACCTGTAAAATAGTCACATTTTGGATATGAATTAAAGTCCCTATGATATTATTCTTCTTGTTGATGAATGACCATGTTG